ACAAGTAGTGACTCTACAGCATCTTACTATGCTGATGGACAGTGACTGTAACGGGGTATGTGGTGGGGACTTGATAATGGGGGGAATCCAGTAACCACAATGTTGCTCATGTGACTGTATATTAATGATACCAAGAAAACCCAAAAAATTAACCCAGAGCAATCCTATGTAATTACACTCCAACACAGACTATAAAATTCTAAAATCATGCCAGAACATTGCCAATCCATTTGGTAAGAAATGCTATTTTTAAAAAAATTAAAAAGAGGAGCTTATTCTAAGGCCAATCCAAAAATCTCAAGGTATGTTATTTTTTCCTTTTAAAATACTATTTGTACTATTATTTACTTTATAAAGTAACTTTACTTGACAAAGTAAAAAGCAACCTATTATTTGCCCCAAATTTACATTAAAATTTTTATTGATCTGAAATCTCAGTATCGAGCAATTAATGTTTCAGATTAAGTTATAAACATCTACCTCATAGAAGCAGCAGGGCAGGAAATAAACATAATGACATATATTATAATTTCCCACTGATTGTTTCTTCACTAGCTAATTGTTAACATCTACCATACTAGACCCCTAAAGTGATGAAACATGTAATACGTAACAATATATGCTACTTGTAATGATCTGTCCCAATATTACAATGAAATCATGATAAAGGAAAGCACCTCATGTTCTCCCTGGGTTTTACTACATGGAAAATAACCACAATTCAATCTCCCATTCTCAAAGCTCTCTACCCTTCCAACTCTGATACTCAGTCACCACACCACCCTAGTGATTCTTCCTTAAGACTAGTATTAAAATCTAATGCATCTTCAGAGGTTTGGAGCCTTTGGAAAATTATTTCTTCCAGGCTTACTATTGTTAGTCTTCCTTTCTACTTCTTGTCTCTTTTGTGCCAGTCTCCTCCAAATGGCAGATTTATCTTCCCCCAAACAGCTTATGATGCTTCACTGCTCAAAACTCTTTTTCATTCTCTAACATAAAACCCAAATCAATAGTTTGGGCATTCAACGCCTTTCATTATTTACTGATATATATCACTACCTTCCTTTTATTTCCATCAAGTTTATCTTACTGAACCTTTGTTGTAGTCACTGATTTTAAGATACCAGTGTTAAGATTGTAAGATACTGGAAACACAAAGGTGCTACTACACTAAAAGTACATCTCAATTGTAAGATATATTCTAATTTTAGAAATGCTGCTAGCCATGATTCAGGATGATAGCCCATCAAACACAGAAACCAAGTGAGTTCCCTAAAGTGAGTTTTATATTGGTTCTGGAATGCAGTAGAAGAATAATTTAAAACGCAGGTAAGCCAATAATATTGTCATTAAACATCAGCGGTCTTTTTTGGTATTAATATAAAATCACATGAGCAACATTGTGGTTACTAGATTCCCCCCATTATCAAGTCCCCACCACGTACCCCATTACAGTCACTGTCCATCAGCATAGTAAGATGCTGTAGAGTCACTACTTGTTTTCTCTGTGCTGTACTGCCTTCCCCATGCGCCCCGCTTCCCCCCCACGTTATGTGTGCTAATTGTAATATGCCCCTTATTCTCCTTCTCCCTCCCTTCCCACCTACTCTCCCCAGTCTCTTTCCTTTTGGCAACTGTTAGCCCATTCTTGGGTTCTGTGAGTCTGCGCTGTTCTGTTCCTTCAGTTTTTGCATTGTTCTTATGCTACACAGATGAGTGAAATCATTTGGTACTTGTCTTTCTCCACCTGGCTTATTTCACTGAGCATAATACCCTCTAGCTCCATCCATGTTGTTGCAAATGGTAGAATTTGTTTTCTTCTTATGGCTGAATAATATTCAATTGTGTGTATGTACCACATCTTCTTTATCCACTCATCTACTTATGGACACTTAGGTTGCTTCCATTTCTTGGCTATTGTAAATAGTGCTGTGATAAACATAGTGGTGCCTATGTCTTTTTCAAACTGGGATCCTACATTCTTAGGGTAAATTCCTAGGAGTGGAACTCCTGAGTCAAATGGTACTTCAATTTTGAGTTTTTTGAGGAACCTCCATACTGCTTTCCACAATGGTTGAACTAGTTTACATTCCTACCAGCAATGTAGGAGGGTTCCCCTTTCTCTGCATCCTCACCAGTATTTGTTGTTCCTAGTCTTTCCTATTTTGGCCATCCTAACTGGTGTGAGGTGATACCTCATTGTGGTTTTAATTTGCATTTCTCAGATAATTAGCAAAAAACATCTGTTTTTTATATTCTATACTCTGGCAAATATGATAGTACCCTCCTATGTTATGGGGGACAGAAGCATGGGGATGGAGATAACAAAGGTAATTTGAATTAATCCAGAAACATACATAATTCCTGCTAAGATTCTCCTTTTTCTTAGAAACTTGAACGCAAATTTTACTACAATAAATGTGAACTCTCTGCCATTTGCCAACATCAGAACACTTTTTATCTGTTAAATTCTTTGCCACCTAGCTCTACCACTTAAAAGCAAGCTCCATGAGGGCAAAGACTTTTTTTTGTTCACCAATGAAACCCAGGTGACCTGAAGAATACCTTGAACACAATGGACACTCAAAAAAATGGCTTAATAAATTTGCTTGACAAAATCTAGCACCTCAAGAAGGTGCTAGAAGGCAAGATGCTTGCTTACTAGCATGTTTCACTGAGCAAAGAAACACAGTGAGCACCTTAGAGAATGGCCTTTGTCTCTTTACTTTGGCAGAACTCCAGCATTTCTGCTATAACCAACAAATGGTTTATTTCCCACTCTTTATTTATCTGTCTTATTTCCCATGCAGCTTACTTTTGCAGGTCAGGCTGGCTATATTTTTAGAAACTGGCATTGGAATCAAAGGGTCTTTAGTAATGCTTTATGCTAACCCCTGCCTCAACTGTCTTTAAAAAATTTATATGTATCTTCAAAAGAGTACATTAGTTTTTACACATGGACCAGAAGAAGCTACTGTCAATATCAACAAGAAAGGTTTGCTACTTCCCAGATAAAAAAGGAAAGAATCCCAGAAGGCCATGCTACACTTCAGATAATTTTTCTAACCCCGTAAATGCCATCAGCAAACTGAGCAAAGGCACTAGATATTTCCTCATGAGAGTTTTTTTGTCTTTTTGTTTTGTTATAAAAGCACCAGGGGCATGACCAAAACTACTTTCTCATACTTGACAGTAATTTACTGTTTTCTTGATTTCCCAATGTCAACTCTTCAGCTTCTCAGAGAATAATTTAATTTATATGACTGTTAATAAAAAATTAAGACTCAAATGTCAATGAGAAACCTGCCAGCATATTATTCTTTTCTGGCATTTTGGTAATTCAGGTGATTTGAAGAACAGACAATGAAGAAAGAAACAGTAAAGTCCGATAGTCAATTTTCACTTATAATATTTTCCCTTAAAAAAAAAGACCATGGCAAAATAACACAGTCCGATTGCATACTATAACAAAACAAGCCAAGCAAGAATCTACTGTTCAAATAGTTATAGTTCCAAAAATTCCCTTCTCTTCCCTCTTTGTTTTCTCATTAACAAATACATAGTAATAGCTCTATCTTAGGAAAGATTCTCCTTCAATCACACAAGCTATTTTCTCTGTTCTCCCTTCAACTCTCTCCTGAACCCATTCCAATCAGTATTTCACTTCTCCCTCTAACAAAACTGCTAACAAAGGTCTCTAACAACCTTGGCCCTGGCCAAATCCAATGGTCAGGGTCTCAGTCTTCATCTAGCTCGACCTGTCTGCAGCACAGAACACAGGCGATCCTCCCTCTCCGAAATGCCTTCTCTGCTTGGTTTCCACATATCATACTCTCTTGGTTTGTTCTGCTTCACTAGTCACTCCTTTCCAAACTCCTCCTTTTCATGTCTCCAACTCTCAGAATGTCTCAAGGCTTAGCTCTGTCTGAGCTCCCAGCATTCCCTATTCCATTCCTCTGCTGCATTTTTCTCCCCAGCACTTAATACTCTATACATACTACATATTATTTTCTCTCTGCCCACTAAAGTATTTCATGAGGGTAAGGATTTTTGTCTGCTTTTCTTTATTGCTGTATTACCAATTTACAGAACAGATCTCATTCACTGTAGGATCTCAGTAAGTATATGCTGAATTAGTGAATGAACAGAAGTGGTAAGATTAACAGCCACTTTGACTAGTAAGTCAGACACTCCAATAAGGAAGTTGCATACACTTCGTTTGACCTTCGAACAATCCCATGAAACCTCTGAGGCTCTGTGGGGGCAGGGTTGGGGGGATGGGTAAAGGGCTGCAGTGTAAGGCGGAGGGGTGTTAACATGCTCCAAATCACAAACTAGTAAGTGGCAGTGCCATGATTCAAACCCAAGTTTATTCTCTTCAAAGTTAATACTCTTAACCACTGCATGGTATTATTTTTACTGGAGTATTATTTCATTACTTTCAGAATAAAGCCAACTCTACTATTTCAAGAGTCAGCAATCAAAGGTTTCCTGTAGTTTTGTAATTAATCTCCATTTTTTTCTGTGAAGACATACATTTAGTAACTTCAGTTTAGAAATTTTAATGGATATTCTTATTGAAAAGAAAAGCATTCCGACACTGCCATTTTCAGTGACACCAGTACAAGTGAGAAAGCATAACACTCTCCTTCAGAATGTGATGGCAGCACTTCCTCTCTTTCATTTCTATTAAAAAGTTCAAGGCAAGGGTTTTCCAAATGTGGCTGAAGAGTCACCTGCAAGCTTTCTGTTTTCTGGAAACAAGATTCCCAGGCCTAACTGCAGAGTGACCAAATCAAAAGCTCTAGGAAACAGCTCACGAATCCAGTATTTTATAAAGCTTCCCTGGAAACTGGCAGTTAGCCAAGTTTGGAAAATACAAGTTAAGTGAACCAAAGTTGGCAAGAGACTAACACCTCTACCTGAGCACCTGGCTCCCTTTTTAACAATGACAAAGTCTGACTAATACTGACCTTCTGCAAGGTCTGACTAATACTGACCTTCTTGGAAAGAGGAACGATGCTGTTGGGTCTGACAAGCCTCCGTTTCTTACAGCTCAGTATAGGACGTGTTCGGGCTGCCACACAGGTGCCATCAGTTGATGAAGAAACCAGGTTCAGTCGTTGCTTTTTATGTAACTGTTCTTCAGCATCAGAGCTGTCACCTGGAATGTGGTCTGCCAACATAGGCTGAAGACTACACAAGGGGAAGGAAGAATATTTACTTCTCAGAAGACACAAGGAAACAAAGCCTCTAATACTGGTTCACCCTCCTCTATTTGTAAATGTTCACAAACAGTAACAGGTATAGTGGAGCAGAAGCAGATTATCTATTGATGCTAATGTCTACTAATCTAGGTGTGTGCAGTGTCTGTGCTTATTTGTAAGCCTCTTGGTTACTTCAACTCCATCATGTTTGAAAAGTACAAAAGTCAGTAAGTGAGGCACTCAGGTCCTAGTTGTGAAGTCTTCTTCTCCAACGGAAATATAAATAAAGCCTAGAAAATTACAACTGGTAAGAATGACGAATTTTGCAAGTGTTAATGAGCAGCTGCTTCCTAAGAGTCAGTTCTCCTGTGAAACTCAACTTAAGGAATCTTTATACACTGTCCACCTGTAGAGGGATTCCTTGAACTTTTATAAATACAGCTTTATAAAGACAGCCTTTAGGGAACTAATCGGTTCTAGAGTAGAGATCTTACATAAACTTGAGGAATTATATTAAGACTAAAACCAATCACAATGATTCACAATAACTGCAGGATTTTGTTTTTCTCCATGCTGAGTTACTTTCAGGCCATAGTATGCAAAAGGGATATATGCCAGAATGCTAATTAAAATATATCTGCTATAATATTAAGTGATAAGGTTTCTGCTCTTTTAAACCAGTTAGTCCTGGCTATGGATAACTAAAAGCCCCAAACTCATTTACAAGCCTACCAAGTGTAAGCAACAGAAGAGATAAAATTTACGTATTAATGACTCCATTGACAGGTCTCAATGCGGCACATGATTTGGTAGACAGTGACTCTGAAGGATGACCACAGGCACCATGGTTTTCCAGTGGTTGAGAAACAGATTCCATCTGAATAAGAAAAAGATAAATAAAAATACATTACCAAAATTAAACCAGTAGCACCCAGCCTGAAATGCAGCATCATTTCATTTAAATGAAACATCTATATTTTTGATGACCAGCTTGAAAAACAAAACTTGTAAGACTGAGGAAAAGAGAAAATAAGAGAATCAGGTTTTGCTCTGGGAGGAAGGGGGTAAGGAACCAAAATATTTAACAGACTAAAAGTACTAAGTGCCTATGACAGGGAAATGATGTAATGACTGCATGGAACAGAAGCTTAGCAAATTACCTAAAGTCTTCAACTAAGGGTTGAGAGGGATATACATGAGTTCACTATCAAGACAACTAAAAGGAAATTTAAATGTAGTCAGTGTCTGCTTAACCTCACAGTGTATTCTGGAAGCATGTTTCCAGAAAACTGTACATTGTGTGTGTGTGGGTGTATATATATTTATATGTAATATATACATATGTGTGTATTATATATATTCCTGTGATAAAAGAAATTTAAAAAATTAAATAAAATTTCAATGAATAATTACCTAATGCTATCTTGTAGCAAGTATTGTCTTTGGACTATACAAAAATCAAATATATGCTTACAATATAAAATAAAAAAAAAACAGAGGTAGGAAATAATTAGGGAAAGTTTGAATTCACTATTTCAAAACAAATTACATAATATTTACAAGGCTCAAAAAGGGATAGGTGCAGCCATGATATGTCACTATATGGAGTCTCTGCAGTGTAGGCAATAAATTCACAGACACAGTAGTACCTCAGCTCGGGAAATTGTTGGAATACCACAGAAGGACTGTGGTCTTTGTCTCCTTACACTGTAACTGATTTTGGGGTGTTCTGAAGGTCTTCCTGTAACTGCAACCACTGTGTTTCTTGAGGCTGAAATTCTATTTATCAGAATTGCTGAATTTTTTTAATCTTTATGCTCACAAGGAGAAACACCAAAGGATCTGCAGCCCTGACAGTCGTTGTAGACAAGTATCAAGAAATGACAACAGACTGGGAAGCTAACTAAAAGTTTGAATGCAAATTACTCAAAAAGCTAGATCAAAGTATATAAACAGACAACATGTTTAGGTAAACTACCATTAATGAACACTGGGAAAATGTTCTGCCTTCCTCGTTATATGTGTTATACAACTAGTAAGGTATCACAAATATCTTGAACAATTTTATTAGTCAGTGATGTCATAATTATGGTGAATCTGGAAACACATACTGATTGCCTCTATGTTACACTTATTTTCTCTTGGAAAGTAATATGGTATTAAATTCTAAGAGTTGCAAAGATGTTTTATATCTTCTGACAAAATATTTTACTTGATCCTAATAATCTACCTTAAAGAAATAACACATCCCCAAAATCTCAAACACAAAGGCAGTCAGTCACTGAAATTTTATCATCTAAATGCTCAACATTTGAGGCCGTTATAAATTATAGCACACCAAATGAGAATATTAAAAATGATTACAGTTATTTCTTTTTCCTTTATGGCAGAAGAAAACATTAACATAAAAAATAATAGTCTTTTATGCAGCAACAATTTTAGAAAGGTTTTAAATTCAAATTATTTTTAATACAATTGTGGTGACTAAAAATGTTCTTCCACAGATAATGACAAGATAAAAATAGTGTTACAGGGATAGAACTACTCTGAAATTTTCTGTATATTTAGATAATATTTTTACATAAAAAAAATAATAAACCCAAGTACCTCCCTGGATGTTAATGAAAATTTACAATTCAGAGGGAACCTCAAAAAGCCCTAACAAATATTATGGTATGACAGAGGACTGGAAAACTAAAAGGATTTAAGATTCAGATTGGCATTAACTAGCAGATATGTGACTCCAGGCATGTTACAGCTTTCCTCGATTTCAGAAGTTCTGGTTCACATGAAGAATTTTCCTTTCAATATGAAAATGCTATGACTATGAACTTTTTGCTGATATACTGATCTTAAGAACTTCTGTCAATTTTAGATTCACTTAAAATAATAGCTTTAGCATTAAATTGTGGCAGAGCTCTGATTTACGTATCTACAATATGCTCTACAAGGTGCCATTAATAGGCTGAACCTCCACTGGATTAGTGTTTCTTTTATAGGAATTACGGGAGAGTTAACTGCAAGGAAACCTGTCAAGACAAAACTCTTCAACAAAATCTCATTTCAAAACAAATTTACCTTTCTTACAGAAAGTCTAAAGAAGAAAAAGCACCAATCACAAGTAGTCTCATTACCTACAGATAACAACTGCTAATAGCCTATCTTGTTTTTCATGCCTACAGGTATAATATAGATAAATGTAACTAATATTCAACGTGAATTTTACTGATTTTGTTGGAGAAACCTCAACTTCCCTGGGAGTCATTCTGCTCCCAAATTAGAATTTAAGTCAGTGGACAAAGCACTGTTTAGCACAGAAATGTCTGTCAGGGATATAGAAGCACACAGCAATCAAGAGCATGAACATCAGTCAGAGAGGGAATGTGCCTAGTTTTCAGACCCAACTACACAAGGAGGCACAAGAATATTCAGGAGACCTTGGAATATTCTGTAGTCAGGCTGAGATCCCAAACCAAGGCACTGGGGAACTAGAACTAAGTTCATCACTCACTCTCAAATGCAAAGAGCTTTAAGTATTAACCCCAATCCTCCAATAGTGTTCCACCTGGAAAAAAAAACTACAACTCACAAACACATGTAATTGTATTTAAGAGCTTCTTAATGCATTCACACTGCCTTAAGAAGTGAACACTCCCTCTCTTGCAAAGACTACAAAGACACAGGGTAGAGAAACATTATCAAGCACTTCACAAATGTTAAACACACACAAATTTAAACGTGATCTTTATTATGGCAGTGGTTTATTTCACTAGTATTTTCAGGAAACTGAAGCATGACTCAGTTATGTGTCACCCAATGGGAAACTGAAAAAAGGCTGAAAGAATTTAAGGCTCTTCCTTTCATAAAACAGAAGTTATTAAAGCCAGAAACAGAAAAGTATAAAAGTCAAAGTGGTAGACTGAGAACTTTAATACCCCTTTTCCTCGAAGAAGAGCCCCAAGAGAGTGCTTTTGGGGCAATCTTAAGAGTTAAAGGTAGCAAGTTACCGAAGTGATTTTTCCCTGACTGAAAGGACCAGGTGCACAGATTGAAATGTTTAACACAGTGATAGGATTCAAATGTGTTATTCATAAAAACAGGCATCCTTTGATTCATTACACCACCCTCTTGGACAGACCAGTGAAGTGTGACAAAGAGCTAGATTAAATTAAGGTCTTACAAGGGTATTTTCTGTGGTCTAAGAACCCATGTCCACTGAATTAATTTTACCAAAAAAGACAAAGGGTAAAAACTAAAAGACACACACTTAAAAACATATATAGTAAGATTAAACTCTAGTTGCAAGATATGTATCTATCTTTACTTTAGTCATTCATTTAATGCCATGTAACAACTGATCGAAATACCATTTTCTTAAATGTACCATATTTGTTTGTCTAGAAAATTTAATTCTGACAAACACTATCAAAATGGAGAGAAAGACTAACTGGGTGTAAGGAATTCAATTTTTATTCAGTTTTTCACTTTGTAAGAATAATTTAATGTTTTGAGCTCCCCATCACAATGATACTTAGCAAAGTCTTGCTTAAAATCACCAAAATATTGCTGGCCCATAAATAGCATACCAGTCATTTCCATGAACTAGCACCATGACCTGGAAATTATGCAAAATTGGGAGTGGAATGTTCTGAAAATTCCACTTCCACCAAGTTACTTACCTAGGCTTTAGGTTCTACATATGTAAAATGGGATTTACAGCCTCACTTTCCTATGTTTTCACATTGGACGTTAAAATTTATACATTCACATGAAAGCAATTTTGGATTATTCACTTTTAAAAATTTCAAGCAGCATAATGCTTTAAAAGTCCTAATTGGCCCATCAGTGTTTTTTAATAATTGTGGATGGAATACTCCCCCACCAGTATCCATCCCCCTAATCTCTATGTCAAAACCCTAAGTGAGCCAACATACCATTTATTAGTCCCCATGACTGCAAAACTTCAAGAGAAAAAAAGTTATTCCTACCTAACCAATGGCAGGAAGATTATACTACAGATTGTTTAAAAAGGAAAAGCAACTGTCATCAGAGAAATGCAAATTAAAACCACAATGAGATATCACCTCACACCAGTAAGGATTGCCATCATAGAAAAGACAGACAACAAATGTTGGCGAGGTTGTGGAGAAAGGGGAACCCTCCTACACTGCTGGTGGGAATGTAAATTAGTTCAACCATTGTGGAAAGCAGTATGGAAGTTCCTCAAAATGCTCAAAAGAGAAATACCATTTGACCCAGGAATTCCACTTCTAGGAATTTACCCTAAGAATGTAGCACTACAGTTTGAAAAAGACAGATGCACCCCTATGTTTATCATAGCACTATTTGCAATAGCCAAGATACAGAAGCAACCTAAATGTCCATTAGTAGATGAGTGGATAAAGAAGATGTGGTACATATACACAATGGAATATTACTCAGCCATAAGAAAAAAACAGACCCTACCATTTGCAACAACATGGATGGAGTGAGAGGGTATTATGCTCAGTGAAATAAGCCAGGCGGAGAAAGACAAGTACCAAATGATTTCACTCATACGTGGAGTATAAGAACAAAGGAAAACTGAAGGAACAAAACAGCAGCAGAATCACAGAACCGAAGAATGGACTAACAGTTACCAAAGGGAAAGAGACTGGGGAGGGTGGGTGGGAAGGGAGGGA